AAAAAAAAAGAACTCTTCAAAATGGCACATGATATGTAATTAAGGTGTGATGTGCATCGAGAAATCCAATAAAAGCAATGTATTCAGGGCAGACACTTATGTATGTATCAAGTCCTATGTTTTTTCTCTCCATTTTTAGAACGTCATTATGCTTTTTTTAATCATCGTCATAATGCATGATTTATCTTTTGAAAAGTTACCGAACATCAAATATCACATTTACCATCTGCAGTTTATAACCAGATATTTCCTATTCAGAACAGAGTTGCATAGATTACAACAGGAGGGAATTTCCTTATGTGGTGCATGCGTCTGTAATGTAAATAAAGTTAATGAATGATCTGGGTGAATCAGCTATTCAGACCACTAATGAAAATAAGGACGTGAGAAACATCCTCTGCTGAAATAAATACTGGATGTTTTAGGCCAGTGGTTTTCAATTTTTTGTGACTGAAAAATGGATCAAAGGGTAATGAGCATCAGTTGAAAATGCAAATAATTAAATGCAACTACTTATATAATAATCATGCACAGATATAAAAGAGCAAAATAAATATGCTTAACTTTTAAAAAGTAGGAAATGTTTGTCCTGTATCTTCTGTTGTCAACAGAAAATTAATTTGTCACCTGTAATAAAAAAAAACTACACAGAATAAAAAAAATATATGACCCATTCTACATAAAAATATGATTTTTCTATAAGTGAGCATAAACAACAATTTGGGAATTATTGGCTGCTGAGATCATGAAAACATAATTAAATGCCTGTTCACATAATAATTAACAATAACTATGATAGTGTCCACAATGTTCTGTTTATTATAAACACATGCTGTAGTTTTGTCGCCTGTTGCTTGTTCAATGCTCAAGAAAGCAGGATTGATTCTGATTGGCTGTCAATGTTTTTAGCGTTCATCAGCTGGAAAAAAAAATCATTCTGAAAGTGAGCAATATCTAGCGATATCTTTCATTCTGTGCTGTTATCATTATAGTTGTGGTGTAGACTCAAGTCTATTCTTTTAAATTTAGAACAATTTTTAAAACTATATCTTTCTTGCTAAAATTATCATCCATGGAGTGAATGGGCTTTAAAAAACAAATTTGTCAGTTTTCCTATTTAGCCTACAGTATGTCATAATATTAATTGCGCATAATATCAATAAGCCTATGCAAGTCATGAAAATACTAAAGGTGCGGTCGAAAGGTCCATTGTTTATTGTCAACAGTGTAATGACCAACTTAAACCTGTTGCAAAATCTGCGTGGCAAAATATTCATGTGGATTCTTACTGAAAGCTTGCGTACGTGACCACACTTGAAGTCATTCATTTAATTTGTTTACTTTTGTGTGAAAAAAGTCAAAGTACGCACATCCAAAGCATCTTGGCCAGGTGCAAGATTTTGAAAAATGTCAGTCTTTGACCGAAACGTTGCCACTTTGAACTTTTTCTAAATAAAGGGAGAATAACAAGTGTGCAGATCTTTTGTATGGTCAACAATTTTGGTACTGTGTTCAGAAGCATATCACCACATTCTGTACTAGATTTAAAGCAACTTTTGGTATTAAAACACAACAACAATGGTGTCCATCTAACAACACAAACTCAAACACGATCACGTCTTTTATTTCTGGGGTGATCAATTTAAACAGGATGTTGGGTAACAAATAAAGCACTAGTAGTACGGTAACACCATAAAAAGTGCTTTTAACTGTAAAAAAAAATGTGTTTCGCACACGATTTCAGAAAATGGGACAAGGTGTGGCTTCTGCATAGGTCATTAGATTTGGCAAATGCATGGCAGCAGCAGCAGAGGGCACAAAGACTGTATGTCACTAGCAACTCACAAACAATGAATGGGAACACAGTGTACTGGTTACTTGGCATGAATATCCTGTTTGACACTTCCCGGACGACAGACAATGTTCTAGTCCTCACCTCCACAGAGAATCAAAAGGGTTTTACGATAGTCTCCTGATGTGTCACCCTGAGAAAATAATATGATTTGGTCAGATGAAACATTTTGAAATAAAGCATCAAAAAACACACCCAATAATTTGGGAGTGTACATCATAATCATATCAGTGGAAGTTTTGTGTTGCATAATGATATTAAGCCATTGTGAAATTCACTGCATTACCTAATTACTGAGTATTTCGTTTAAACTTGTACGAGAAGTGAGATCAACATATCACTTTCCTTCCTTCATAGTCTAAAGTGCATTTCCATGGAAATAATGTTTGCAAATGCAAATAAAAATGTTATGAAACCATGCAATTCTACAAAACAATAAATCTACTCAGGAAATCTTTTGACACACACCTTAAAAAACACACAGAGACTGCAAGCATCTAAAAATAAATCATGCTGTTATTTTTTATATATGATTTGAATTTAAATGAAGCATCAGTTTGTTTCGCATACTGGCCCAACTAATAGCATAATAAGCCCCAAAAACAAGACATGAAATGTATAATTTAGTGTTGTTATTGATCTCTAAAGGGAGTTTCGACTACAGAGCCAGTATAGACCTGTTATTGAACACTTCCTGTCTCCATTCTCTCCACCAATCAGATTCAGCACACTGAGAGGAAGTCAAGCATGCAGGGGGAATTCCTAAACAGCTGAGTCGAGCGAGTACACCGCAGGAACCTGTCAAACACTCTGTTCCCCTCGACTTAACCAAAAGAGGATGTGCAACGCCTACAGTAAGACAAAACACAATATCTACACAACTCTCTTTTAAATTCATTAACGTCCGATCGCACCAGTAACACATGCACAAATGCATGCAGTATGTATGAGAAGGAGCACACAACTTACAACGAGCGTCTCTACCTGGATGAATTCATGCAAAGAGGTGTCATGGGTCTCCTTGAACTCTTTGCGGATGTTGAAGAGGTCAATCTCGGCGCGGGACACCATGATACGGATGAGAGCCCTGTCGTCTGTTCCCAGTCCCTGCAGGGAAAGTCACAGTGCTTAGGAAACTCTGGCCTGACCGCTGATCTGTGCGATGCTTATGAAGCAAAGCATCAGCAATAGTGCAGATGCTCATCACAGGGCCTGTGATTCATAATCAATCCTGAGAACCACAAAAACTAAGACCATAAAACATGTTTCATTCTATAATGAGCGGCTTACTCAGTAAAGCATGTTTTTAATCAGTGTCTGTAATTCATCACTCAGAGTAAAGGTTTTACTCAGAGACTTAATTGAGTCCTCAGTTCTGTTTTATTTCAGCATCAGCTCATATTTTTCTCTTATGAAATAGTAAGAGTGGGAGTAGTAAGAGCTATAAAATGATATTATTGAAATGTCTTCTAAACTCCAGACTACTGGAGTGTGATTACTGCTGTGTGAGAACAAGTATCTCCATTTGCTCCCACTTTCACTGGGAACATTGAAACACTTTTGATATTAAAGAAATATCAAACTTTGATTTGACTGATGTCATGTTCTTGGCCTACATCAGCTGTTTGAGTTTGTTCCTCCTTCTCAGAGACAGATGTTGAGGGAAGTGTATTACGTAACAATGCATTTTTACCTTCATGGCTTTGTACAATCGGTCAGCAAAGTAAGATGGCTGATTCTTCACACTCCGCACTGGAAAATATACACATGTTACTGCTATTTTTTTAGATGACTGGAGTCATATGATTTTTTGTATGTAAAACATGTGATCATAAATGTCACTGCTTGCTGATGTAATTGTTAAAGGAGTCGTATCATACACCCCTTATAATATTAGAAAATAGACTCATAATTTAATCATTTTTAAGACTTTAAGATGTCCTCTTCGCATGTATACAATGTCTGCAGCTTTGTTATAAACCTTAATTAGGTTAGACACCATACTGAATTTAATGCGGAAGAAAACAAGGCTGTGAAGAATAGACTTTCAGTCTTTACAGTGGAACACTAGATCATGGTCCTAGATCATGTAATTTTTACAATTCACAACTTTCAAAACTATTTTATGGTGTCTTTGTCTACTGAAAGTTTTTTTCAGAAAGATGTTTCATCAGCTGAACAATCGGTATGTTGTTAAACAACAGTACATACCATTGAATGCACTGTACTTCTATCACTCACAGCCTTAAATTAAATATGGTGCTACCCTGACTAAGTGTTGTTATTGTTAACTAAAACTAAATCTACAACTATAAAAAACTGTTTTGTTAATTGAAATAAAGCTAAACTAATATATATATATATATATATACGATTGAAGTAAAATATGAGTTCATAAAGCACAAAGTATGAACTGTGAGTCAGTGTTTGGATGCAAGAACTGTGTAGATGTACCTGTGCCAAAGATATCAGGATCCGTTTGAAATGCCCAGATGTATCTGATGCGATGGCGTCCTCCAAACTTTTTTTATAGGCTATATAGAAGAAAGTTAATATATATGGATAGACATAAAGTGATGGATAGTCTACCTGTAAATAAATGATTGTTGAAACTGTAGTAAATACCCCATTACGAAGACTTTTTATCTCTGTTTAGCCTAGAAAATGTATTATTTAAATTGCAGCAAGGGTTTTAGTTACCATTCTGATAGGCAGAACACATCTCCTGAATCTCCTGGTTGCTCCTAGTGACCAGGATCTCAATCAATGCATGTTCATCGGTCCCTGCGCCCTAATAAAATATGTAAAATACATCTATTTAAGCATAAACATAGCATTTCATACCAAATTGCTTTCAATTATTATATGTAAACGTGCATATCACTAAAATACTGCTTTTGACCTCATTTTCACTAACCCAGTGAAACTCAACATGAAAGCAACACTGGCAAACAAACAGTCCTTGTAAAATGAGACTATCACCTCTGCTCTTGTTTGGACAGGTCACTGACCCCCAGTGAACAAATGAACACAGAGGTTAAAAAGCAAAAGCAGGTCGATCTGCTTAAATGATGAAACAGCCTTTTCTATGACTCAAATAAGATGTTTGTTTGGTTCCTCATGCCGTTACAATTTTATTCTCTGTACCTCCATGGCTTTCTTCATCATCTTAGCCTCAAACTCTGCTGGAGTCATCATGAGACCCAGGATTAATCTTTGGAGGTTTTTGGACAGTTCTGATTTTAGGTCAGCCATGAGATCCTGATGGAAAACAACTGTATAAATCAGCTAAATACCAAATGCATACACATTTACAGAAACCACAGTAATATACTCTGTTCAATTGGGAACAAAACTAGACAGGGCAGTGTCGTACCCGTCCCAAAAGAGATTTAAAAGTCTGTCTGATCTCCTGTCTCTGTGCATTGCTCCTGTGTGCCACAATGTCAATAATCGTATCTTCATCCGTTCCTGAAAAACAACAGGAAATCATATATTATATTTTGCAATTTTTAGGCTAATGCATGCTATTAACCATAACATACTGTGTTTTCACGCACCAAATCCCTTCATTGCTTTTCTCAGACCTTGAGCATCACTTGCAGGGTCAAAATTTTGATACGGTCGCACAGTTCCTCTTAACTAGTGATGCATAAGAAAGACAAAATGATACACTTACACATTAAAAAGACATACACACATTGATAACATTGATCTATTAGTGCATATTGTTAAACTTATTAAAAGCAACATCACATCAGCAGCACAAGCACACATACGGACACACTGAGATCTGTAGGATTGGTGTGACACTGAACTGAGTGACTGGAAAAGTGTCACAGGAACTGGCAGCAAATCAAGACACTGATTAGCAAATTGAGTGGCATTCGGATGCTATCTGTGCACAGACAAAAGCTCCGCTGTATGTTCAGGGTGCATGACACAGTTATCAACTCTAGCTTAGCCGGCGCAGAGGGTCATATAATGCATGCTGCTGAGAGAAAACGTGGGGGTCTCCAACCTGGATTTTGGTCATGGCGCTGATTTCCCACATCTTGTAGGCAATCTGTGCAGCCTCTGGGAAGAACTCCCCTGCCATACTGAAAAACAAACAGCTCTTTAGCCTTTTGTGCTGACAAAATAACAATGTGTGGATTGAGGGTTTGATAAAAACAAAATAGCTTCAATTCTTGATCTCTGGCCCTGGCTCAATGAAATCTGCAAGAACATCTAAATCATATAATACAGTAAACGTAAATATGGAGGTACTGTATATAAATACACTACTGTTCGAAAGTTTGGGGTCAGTAAAGATTTTCATTTAGCAAGGGTGCATAAAATAGTTTTTTTTTTAATATAATTTTACAAAAGATTTCTATTTCAAATGATTGCTATTCATCAAAGAATCCTGAAAAAAAAATGTGGCCCTGGCTCAATGAAATCTGCAAGAACATCTAAATCATATAATACAGTAAACGTAAATATGGAGGTACTGTATATAAATACACTACTGTTCGAAAGTTTGGGGTCAGTAAAGATTTTCATTTAGCAAGGGTGCATAAAATAGTTTTTTTTTTAAATATAATTTTACAAAAGATTTCTATTTCAAATGATTGCTATTCATCAAAGAATCCTGAAAAAAAATTATCATGACTTTCGCAAAAATATTAAGCAGCACAACCGTTTTCAACATTGATAATAATAAGAAATGTTTCTTGAGTACCAAATAAGCATAGTAGAATGATTTCTAATCATATGACATTGTAGACTGGAGTAATGCCTGCTGAAAATTCAGCTATATTTCTATTCATTCAAATAGAAAATCAAATTGCAGTAATAGCTCACAATATTACTGTTTTACTGTGTTTTTCATCAAATAAATGTAGCCTTGGTGAGCATAAGAGACTAACATAAGAAAAACATAAAAAAATACTTACTGACCTCAGACTTTTCAACAGTAGCATGCATTAAAAGAACATTTAAAGAAAGTATAGATAGAAACTCGTGTCTTTTTTCTATATGTCTAAAAGTGTGGATACTATAAATATTGTCCTGTTTTATGATGGACCAATGTCTCCCTCTACTGATTGTTCATAGTTACTGCAAAACTGATCTAGAGAAGTTTGTGATTTCTGCACCACTAGAATCATTAAATGCAATGTACATAATAATGACTTAAGTTTTTGAGAGGAATCGGCCTTAGAATGGCTCACTTATATTTATCTCTGCATATAAAGCTAGGATTTTTAACATTTAAAAAATGACCCTTAAAAAAGCTTACTCATCATCTCCTCCACACAGTTTCAGCAGGGTGCGCTTGTAATCCCCGGATGTGTCATCCTGTTGGGTTAACACATGGCAAAATATATTATTTACTATTTTATTTACAGACACACACAACGTGCATCCAGTGGGTAACTTTAAAAAAATATGTGCCATCAATGTACGACATGAATAAACCATGTTTGCTATGTAACTACACAACAAATGACAAACGCAATTATAAGGCCAAGGAGAAAAACCTCACTGTATTGGAAATGATTTCAAACAATAATAAATGTAACACACATGAATGTACTGACAGAATGCAGAAATGTCTGGATTCTGATGTGTTTGTGTATATGCACCTGAATCATATTGTACAGAGATTTCTCATAGCGCAGTCTGAAGCACTCTCTGATGTCCAGCATGTCAATCTCAGAGCGGGAGACCATGATGCGGATCAGAGTGTTATCAGCTGTGCCCAGACCCTGCAGACAGATGGGAAAAATAACAATGCATTGATTTAAGCCTTGAGAAATGCAATTTTAGCAATTCATTCTAACAGGTAACACTACCTTCATGGATTTGTAAAGCCGTTTGGCGAAGAACATGGGCTTACTCCTGATGCACTGAACTATGGGAGATAAACAAAAAAGCAGATCTTAGAGAAAATGCAGCAGTGAGCTTTCAGGTATTGATTGCATGGTGCCAAAGCTTACCGACAGCCAACATCAGTCTTTCAAAGTCTCCGGAGAGCTCACTCTTAATACTGTCCTCAATGGACTTCTCAGCAATTTTCTGGTACTCATCAAATACTGAAAAACACAATTATTTATTTGCTGTTACGTCATACAGAATTTATCCATGTTACACTGGTTAATCCGAATATTGCAATGAATCTTAATCATTAATAATCTAAATTCATTAACAATCATAAAATTGTGCAGTGGTGCATCTTGCATCATCACACATCATTTAGGTCACTGCACAGTGGTTTTGTGTCAGGTTATTAAAAGCAGCAACCTGATGGTCAAATCTAATCGGCAGTGCGGTGAGGAGTGCTACAGACAGAAGAGAGACTGTGTAGTGGAGGAGGGGTGTTAGTCAGCAGAAATCTCTGTGTTCAGTGTGTGGCTGCGGTTCTCATACCCAACTGCAAATGGATCACACTTCGGTTTCCCAGCAGCATGATGAATTTGGCCTCGTCTGTGCCCCACTGTGCCTCTCCTGCGTCATACAGGTCCTACACAGTGAGATTACGCACAATCATTCTTTCAGGATGCAAGTCAGGAGGTCAAAAACACAGTTGCATGGTGTAGGATATTCTAGTATGCTACATAGTTTTCCTGTTGCCTTTATGCACTAAAGAGCCAAATAAATATGTAAATAAGCATAGAATATTCAGTTACATTTTATTTTCTTTATGTGGGAAGAAAGAGAGTGCAGAGTTATACAATCATTGTAAATAACATTTGACCACAGAAGGTCACAATCAACCAATCAGAATCAACGTAATACTGATTTGTACGTAGTATCATTTATCCAGTGATCTGTTTGAAACAGATTGTAATTTATAGCTAGTTCTAAGTCTAATATTCACACTCACTTGAGCATCTTGCTCCACGAGGTCTTCACTAACAACATCATCTTCCTCTCTGGTCCCCTGAGAAACAAGACACAATTAACTTATACAGCTTCTGGATTTCCAAAAAAAAACAACATGAAGGTTTTATATAATCATAAATATCTAAACCTTTGATATATAAACATAAATCAACATATACAAGATTTGACTCACCTGAAGCAAAACAACCAGCATCTTCTTAAAATGTCCAGATGTGTCCCCTATAACATCCTCTTCAAGGTCTCTGCCATATGCTGTAAACACAATCACAGAGTCAGGCTTTGCCTCAGTTCAGAAGAATCTCTGGTTTCTTATTAACTTGTATAAAAAAAACTCACCATCTTTGTATGCTGCCACCAGATTATGAATCTGCTCATTGGTTCTCGAAGCGAGAATTTCAATCAAACATTTCTCATCTGTTCCTGCTCCCTTTAAAGCAGAGCATGAAGGTCCATTACTGAGCGACACAAATCGCATATTCTGTCTCTTTAATTAGTATTTGTCTATTTGAAAAGGATAATGTACAGTCAGCTAGTATAATTATTCAGAGGGATAAGAGTGCAGTTACTTAAAAAGACAGAGACATTACAGTATTGAATATGTATAGATGTTGAAATTAAGTATTAATTATAAGTATTTAAGTATTGAAATTTAATATGTGCTCAAATGAGAGAAGATTATTGTGTCATATAGGATAGAGTTAGTATTGCAAAAAATGTTCAAACCATGCAGTCTTTTGTTGTAACAAGGCATTTGCAGAAAGCAGTTAAAATCTGCAATTTAAACAGCAATTTAGGTTTAAACTCCCCATTAAGAGTTGAAACGAAGCATGTTCTATATCTGTGATAAATACATATTAAATATATAAATCTATTTCTTTTCCAAAGGTATAGTCAGACATTTCTTCCATGTTTGTTTTCTATTACTGAAGTCCTGATTGGCTAAATCCTTTTAGATTTTTCACAGCCATACAGATCATGAAATGGTTAACACTCACTAAAGAAAGAACTGGCCTACCTATTGCCATTTAATTAGTTAAGGAAAATCACTTACCGAATCCTAACGATAGCAACAGCAAAATAGATTCACAGAACAAAACAGGCAGTAAATAACAGAATATAGCTGATATTGTAATTGGTCTTTTAATGAATGATGCTTAGAGATGAGGTTGTAAGTCACTATTCTGTTCTGTTTAGCTGATTGACAGATATAGTAAAGACCACACATCCTGTAGCCATTTTGTTATTATATTGAAAAAATAATTAAATATTAAGGACCGAATCAAATAATACAGCATAACACATCTCTCTAAATACAAGCCATGCATTTTAATAGTTCATTTCAATGCAATTCCATCAGCCAGGCATAGCACATTTAACTGAAAGTCTCAAATTCTCAAAGCATCAAGATTCTTACATACCTTAATGGCATCCTTGATTTCTTTGGCATCATGATAGGCTGGAGGTCTCATCAAAACCACAATCAGACGTTCAAACTTCCCTGTCAGCTCGTATTTCAGATCATCAATTAAATCCTATAAAATAACATAGTTTTGATAAAGTGCATTTTGTTCTATAAGTCTTTTATGCATTTACTGAATGCTTGCCAGAGATTTTCCAGTACCTTCCCAAACTGTGATTTGTAGGCAGCACGTATGTCCTGCCTCTCAGCATTGCTTCGTGAGGTAATCAGGTCTAAGATGGCCTCCTTGTCACTTCCTGTGACACAAAAGGGAATACTTTTAAGTGATCATAGGGATATCCCAGCAGCCACTGGCTTCATATTTAACATCTATAGATGAGGAGTCCTGACACTCACCAAAGCCTTTCATGGCATCATACAGGGCCTCTGCATCACTGCCTGCATCAAAGTCAGGGTGATCTGCAATTGTACCTCTGAATTCCTATAACAAAAATGATAAATGTCTTTGTTTATATTGAACGGTGAAGTCCAAGAGTTGTTGCAAGATTAATCTAATCAAACTCAATGAATAATAAGCATTCAAAATGTTTTCTTTCCATATTACAAGATAAAATTACTTGCATGCAATATTATGACTTATTTTCAAATATTTTTTCTGTCTTCAAGCATAAATTTAGTGAGGTTTATGCTTAAACAAGAGAATTTAGTATAAACAGTAATATTGTGAAATATTACACATTATACAATTACATTTTTCCATTTTTATTTATTTTAAAATGTAATATCCTTGTGATGGCAATGCTGAATTTTCAGCATCATTACTCCAGTCTTCGGTGTCACATGATCCTTCAGAAATCATTCTAATACATTAACTTGGTGCTCAACAAACATTTCTTATTATTATTAATGTTAGAAACAGTTGTGCTGCTTAATGATTTTGTGGAAACTGTGCTATATGATTAATAGAATGTTCACATATATTTGAAATAGGAATATTTTGTAACAATGCAAGTCTTCACTGTCACTATTGATCAATTTACTGCATCTTTGCTGATTTCTTTCAAAACTTTTGAACAGTAGTGTATATAAAAATATATAAAATATTTTTAAAAAACAATCTAAAATCATTATCTTCTAAAGTTAATTCATCTTGTTTTAAGGATGTTTGGACATTTTTACTGAAAACAAAACAAAATGCTGATGAAGACAATTATTTTTTGCAGTGCATTTAGATGTCTTTTACAGTCTCATGCATTATACTGAACTCAAAAATTTATTTTAAGTTGCTCATGGGTGGGGCAGGTGTAATTTTACACCAACAATCAGACTCTCCCCCATCTGGCCTTTAGTCCAAACCCAGGCGGGACTATAGAGTGGACAGCTGACACCTGTCAGTGCAGCAGTTGCGTGTTATGGTCAGCAGCAAAAGTCAGTTTGTGTGTGACAGAGAGAGACAGAAAGCCTGTATGCGACTTAAATGTCTGTAACCTTACACTTTCAACCCTATTGAATCTATAGAGGGATTGTTCTCCTTCAGAGAGCAGCAGACCTCACATCTGACGGGGCATAAATGCTGCATGACTGTGCATTTTCAAAGTTCCTCTGCACTCACTGTCTCACTACAATTATTCCCCGTTATATTGGCCTTGCTGGTGTGTCTAGTAGGGCACAGAGCCAGGGTCCTCCCAATCATGCTTCTGTGAACATGCTCAAGGCCTGTCCAGAAGCTATCGCTCAACACAGCAGCTGTAGGGTTCCACGTCTACAGCAACAGACCCCTAGCAACACCGACCTCAGCAAACAAACATCCGGCCAGGCACACTTCTACAATATTATAAGAAATACTTTATGTCATTAGTGTAGTGGCAAGCAGTTTCTTACTTTCAGAAAACATCTAAGATGTCACTGAGAAAGTATTTCAGCTACAGAAAGAAGAAAACTGTGAAATAAAACATAAACTTACAAAATATAACAATATAAAGGACATTTTCTAAAGAAAATGTGATTACTACACATCAATGGCAAACTCCCCACCATTGCTATATGGTTTTTCAGTATGTCACCAGCATGGTCCCTCCTTGAATTTAAGTTTTTTTTCTCATGTTTTATCATTCTGCATTTGTAAATTTTGAGCACTTACAAAAGTAATAGCTCACCTCTCCTCAATAAGCTGCATAATTTAAGGTATTATTCATGAGCGTAGCACAAACAAGGTTTAATACTTAGGGTTAGAGAGGTTTATTCAAATCCCTAATCCTAATAATAGCAAAAGTAATAGTGATGCGTAATTTTACAAGCATCAATAATACATAATGAATTATTAGTGTGCTTTTTGCTACTACCTATTAAAAAATAAAAATAAAAAAGGTAAGATATCAAGAATGAAATAATAGCTCAAAAATAAGACCACTGAGTCACCACATGTCTACATGTGGCATTGTGGTGTTCACAACAGATCTAATTTTTTAATGAGCAACTCATTGACCTCTGAGATTCCATAAAGAAAACTGTGATATCCTATACTCTCTGAACTACAACAGATGGAAAACGAGATTCGTTACCATGAGAAAGGAGGCAGAGGTCATGTCTTTGTGGCCATTTTTCTAACTACATGATCAAAATGCAAACATTACATCAACATATTGCAAGTAGACGTTTTGGCTTACTTTGCCCATGTTTGATAAGTTTCTGGTTGCCAATGGAATGATAATCTTGAACCTGGAGAGAGAATTAAGAAGAAACTAATTAATGTCAGTCTGTCCTTAGCTTGTGTATGATTAAAGACAAAATGTAATGTGATTTTTAAAATAGCAGTTAATTACTTTCGGAATCTGAGATATGTCTACTGTAAGCAACAATGGAAATATGTTATATTATCCAGAGTCCTCTATTCACAGTGTAGTTAAAAATACATTGCTTCTGAAGCAAATCAACTATGAATGTTTCCATAAGTTTACTCCTATAAGTATCCCAAAACCGTTCAATCTTTATGACTTTTGTTTAATCACATAGGAATGATCTAAAAAAATAATTTCCCCCTAATTCAAACCATTTCTACTCCCTATAGGTTTAAACGCTGATGGCAAAGCCACATTTTCCACAGGATACTCTTGGCTTCACCTAGTGAACTTATACAGTACTATGCTCACTTTCACTACATCATAATCAGGCAAATAAAGAACAGGGAACTCTCAGTGATGGAGGAACGTCCAGTCTGCAGTGGACCAATGGAAATTTGATTCTCTGTTATAATGCCAAACTTGTGCACAAATCATCCGGAAGATGCATGCAGTTACTGCACAATGACAATTCATCAAATTTCTCGCTTCTTCTTCTTATATGTTGTATGCCTTATATTATTAATTGTGGACTCTGACTCTGCAGAGTTTTGTAAAACAAAATAAAATAAAAATAGAAACATAGGCAACTTTCTGTATTGTTTAAAATTGTAAATGTGTCAATGGAGTCCAAAAATAGGCATGTCTCTCTGTCTGAGTCAGGAATACATCCAAAGTCTGAGAAAGATATTCACAGCCCCACCCAAGCAGCAATACCACAAATTATAATTAAAAAATGAATGAAAATGATCCTCAGCTGATCTGATATGACATAAAAAGACGTTTACTACAATCATAATCTTAAGACCTTTGGTTTTTAATCAACTTTTCACATTTGCAATCATCATACGTGTGTGTATTTTATAAAACTGAGTGTCTATATAAAGTTTAGTAGGAAAAACTGATACTACTGGTAGTAGGAAAAAATGTGAACGTTATTAAAGTGGCACCATTCGCCTATGAAATGCGCGTTTCTATGCTACAATATGTGTCCCACTATTTCCTAATGCATTCGTTAAGAATAGTTACAAATAATAACAACAGCAAAAGCAACATTTTACCTTAATCTCAGGGAGTCTCGAGCTCCGGTTAACGGTGGTCCGTTGTCTCTCGTCAGTGGTCTCGCTGGGAAACGTCTGTGCGTGTCTCAGCCGTTCTTCTCTCACGCACGCAGTATTCAGCTCAGCATAAGCAGCTGTGATGTAATGTTAATGTCCACGGCGTGTGTGATAGCCACTTCTCACAAATGACGTAGGGATTACTATCAGTGAAGACACGAGGCGTTGGTTTTTTAGACAGTATTATCTGCAGTGCACCTCCTGCTCTGCATATGCAGGCAGCTAATTTGGGGATTCCTGTGAAGTCATAAATCAAGATGATAATTTGAGAAACAAATGCACAGTAGGCTATTTGTGAGGTTAAAGATCTACTCGGCAAAGTTTAACACAAATAAATTCTAATAAATGTAATAAATAAATAAAAATTCAATAAATTTGACATTGAACATTTTTAACTGAAATGGGAATTAAACATCGTTATTCTACACGAAACGGGTTCCTGTATGGCTGCCACCATGTTGACATCAAATGATCATCTGTGGTATGCAATTCACATAGTTTTCTTTATATAGGCTAGTAAAGTATTTTTGCCTCTTTATAAAAACAAACATAAAAGTACAGAACCCGTTACTTTTGGGACAAATAGCCAGCTAAATAGTAAACTAGTAGCCTACTAACTAAATGCACCTTTAATATCTGAAACATTACGAAATAAGACTCCTTTTTATAGGATATTAGAAGTAGAAGTAATATTATGATAGTAGAAGAAATTAAGGTAAGCATTTTCAAGTAAATTATGGCTGATACAAGCTTGCATATATATATATATAGCTATAGTGTATGTAGCTATATAGCTATATATGGTGTAAGGTGCCTTCCTCAAGAACAATGTGCTTTAAACGTATTTTTGATATCATTCTTTATATTAAGTGTCATTAATATAAGTGCCATTAATGTAAAATACTAAATGAACAGTTTTATTGAAAATGGTCTTTACAAAAATATTCATATTTAATTGCCCATATTTAAATGAATATGTCATAAAAGCATCACTATGAATTCCAATTAATTTCACTCACTTAGTCTATAGGTTCTTGTGAATAGCAATCTATCTATGGAATTATATGAAGTATGAAATGTAAAAAATGATAACACTAAATCAAAGCCTAAATTTAAAAATAAAATCACTCATTAACAAATTCATTCACAAATCACTCATTAACAGATAAGCCTTTTAATATTACACAAAGATAACCTGAGTAAATACAAAATGCAGTTTTGAAATGATGATTTCATTTATTAAGGGAAAAAAGCTGTCCAAACCTGCCTGGCACTACGTGAAAAAGTAATTGCCCTCTAAATCTAATAACTGGTTGTGCCACCCTTTGCAGCAACAACTGCAATCAAGCATTTTCGATAACTGGCAATGATTCTTTCATTGTCCTGCTGCATAATCCAAGTGTGCTTGAGCTTGAGGTCACAAACTGACGACCGGACATTCTCCTTCACCATCATGTTTGACTGTTGGTATGATGTTCTTTTTATGAAATGCTGTGTTGGTTTTACGCCAGATGTAACGGGACACACACCTTCCAAAATGTTCAACTTTTGTTGCATCAGTCGACAGAATATTTGCCCAAAAGTCTTGGGGATAATCAAGATATTTTTTTGGCAAATGTGAGACGAACCTTTGTGTTCTTTTTGGTCAGCAGTGGATTTTGCCTTGTAACTCTCCCATGGATGCCGTTTTTGCCCAGTCTCTTTCTTATTGTTGAATCATGAACACTGACCTTAATTGAGGCAAGTGAGGCTTGCAGTTCTTTAGAAGTTGTTCTGGGTTCTTTTATGACCTCCTGGATGAGTTGTCGTTGCACTCTTGAAGTACTTTTGGTAGGCCAACCACTTCTGGGAGGTTCACCTCTGTTCCAAGTTTTCTCCATTTGTGGATAATGGCTCTGACCATGGTTCACTGGAATCCCAAAGCCTTAGAAATGGCTTTATAACCCTTTCCAGACTGATACATGTCAACTATTTTGTTTCTCATCTGTTCTTGAATTTCTTTATATCGCGGCATGATGTGTTTCTCTCTAAGCATGCTTCACTTTGTCAGACAGCTTCTATTTAAGTGATTTCTTGATTCAACAGGTCTGGCAGTAATCAGGCCTGAGTGTGGCTAGTGAAATTTAACTCAGCTTTCTAAAATAATGTGGTTAATCACAGTTCTTTCATGGTTTTAACAGGAGGGGGCAATTCATTTTTCATGTAGGGCCAGTTTGGACAGCTTTTTCCCTTAATAAATGAAATCATCATTTAAAAACTGCATTTACTTGCATTATCTTTGTGTAATATTAAAATGTGTTTGATGATCTGAATCGTTTAAGTGTGACAAATATGCAAAAAAATGTTCACAGCAGTGTGCATACAGGCTTCATTATATAGCCATGAAGTTGAAAGAGTAAAAGTAAAAGATCTTGCTTGGAAATGCAGCCTAACCCATATTTGGCAGAGACATCTTTTAAACTGTTTATATGAACAGTTAATGAAGCACTCAGAATTGCAGCTATGTACAAACTAAGTCAAACACAGTGTCTTCTGAATAAACTTCAAGAGAAAAGCAGAGAGTGTTTTCTGATATGCTCTTAGTATCCAGTGGCTGATCATGTCTGCCTTGGCGTGAGATTGTGACAGGGCTATTTCTGTCATTCCGGTAAGAGGGTGAGGAATCCAAGATCAGAACAGCATAGTAGAGCAGAACGGAGGGAGAGGGGGCCGATACAGCCACTATGCATTTACAGTAAACTTTTCTTCCTAAATACAGTGTCATCTCATTACACTCACAGAATGACAGTATTTTTTTTTAACACTTTTGTTACAGTTAATGGTAAAACATGCTTTAATTGCTGGAGTCACATAAAGCATTATTAAATGTGGTAACTTTCTGCACTACAAATCATGAAGGTCACCATCTAAGTCAGGGGTGCCCAAACTCGGTCCTGGAAGGCCGGTGTCCTGCAGAGTTTAGCTCCAACCCCAATTAAACACACCTGAACCAGCTAATCAAGCTCTTATAGGCATACTAGAAACTTACCAGCAGGTGTGTTGAGGCAAGTTGGAGCTAAACTCTGCAGGACACCGGCCCTCCAGGACCGAGTTTGGGCACCCCTGATCTAAGTCCTGATTTCTTTGTAGTCAGTAAACAGGAAATCATGGCAAAGCTGGGCTGCCATCTAGTGTACAGAAAGTGAACTGTTTGTTGAAATAGTTTAATAAATAAGAATGTCCTATTTGTTTCTTGTATGAAACCATGTCCTGTTTTATTGTGTGAATATTTGCTGAGATAGATGGTCATCATAACCTCACAGCAATGTTATAAATCTTTCTTTGGTTTTCAACATGGAATTTTATCCTCACCCTGTGCCTTGGCTGCAATTATGAGCACATTATGGGGCCAGTGAGAAAATGGGGAAAGAAAGGCTACTTTGTTGCTAATGCCATTGAGTGGGTGGGTCAAACAGTCCACTCTTGTATATATTGTTGTAAAAATAATTTGGCCTTATTGGTGTGAAAGGGACGGATATATTTAGATGGTTATTACAAAGATACAGACTGCAAACTTCTCTGGACAATTAAGGTAAAGAAACAAACATTCACTTACTAATTCAATGCATTAAGAAATGTCTTTGCAAGCTCTTTAGTCATTATAGTCATAACATTTTATCATTATAGTCATAACTTTTTTGGCTTTTCTTTTTATCATGCATTACTTCAGTGCATATTTACAACAGCAGGTGTAAATAAATGCAAAAAAAAAATTTTATTAATTAATTAAGGAAAATATTTTAAATCCTGCTTCAGTTCACATGCATTTTAGAAAACATAAAATAATGCATGTAAATTAACGAATAACAGTTTCCTACATAAGATAGTCACAATAGAAAAGTCCAATTATTGCAGTAGAATAGTACTAATAGAACTTTTTTGCAGCTCTATGTTCTGTACATTCATGTTGGCATGGGATGTAATCAGTGCTATAGAATGCAGTGTGTAGCAGATTCCTGGCAGGATTAGCATGGATTGTAAATCTTCAGTTGGCAGATTTTAGAAAGCCACTACACAAAGAGAACGTGTGCCAGCCGACCACTGTCAAGTCATGAAGGCAGCTTTGTCTATCCTTCTTCATTACTATCTCATGGAACCACAGAACAGACCTCGGTCTAGAGTTTAGAAGAGGATAAGTGCTACAGTAGAAAGTGAAGGACACCTGACTGCATCATTTTTGTTGTATGAACCAATACACCAATGAAAAGATTAATGTAATGTTAATGAAGTTAAAATAGCCTAAACATTTTTCTTTTTTTCAAAATCACTTGAATTAAATGATTTTATAATTTACAGTGGATCCATTATACCATGTTTTATTCTTTAATTAGATTTTAAAAAGAAATCATTTGTGGATCACAAAGATAGTTAGTGATGGATATTAGTGATCTGTTTATACTTAAATTAGAGATCTTTTTGTTTTTTTGTTTTTTTAAGGGTTCAAAGCAAAGAAACAAAGAAAAAACATCTCAGTGCTTATGAAAACATGAAGAAATTGTGATAAGGTAAATGGGAGGGCAATTGAATTGACAAATAAATGACCAGCATGCAAAGGATTAAAAACTATTATTTTTCATTACTGAGCATAATCCAGATTAGTTGCCCAAAGACACAATAGCATGGAAATGATATTAAAAATGACATTTGATATGATGATAAAATGATAAAAACTAAATTAATTTTAGCTTAATAAAAATGCAGGAAAATGTCATTAGTTTAAAGAAATAGTTCACCCAAAAACTAAAATTTGTTTAAGATTTACTCACCCTTACACCATACAAGATGTAGATGAGTTTGTTTGTTCATCGGAACAGATTTGGAGAAATGTAACATTACATCACTTGCTCACCAATGGATCTTCTGCAGTGAATGGGTGCCGTCAGAATGAGGGTCCAAACAGCTGATAAAAACATAACAATAATCCACAAGTGTGTGTTTGTAAGAAACAAATCCAAACAAACAACTCCTTCACATCTTGGATGTCCTGAGGTTGAGTACATTTTTAGCAAATGTTCATTTTTGGGTGAACAATTCATTTAAAAAAAATTAGATTTAGCATTAACCAACTTTTTATATATTTGTAACCTCACACACAAGCTATATTCAAAGTCAAACCTTTAAAATTTTACTCTCACTCACCTATAACAGCCAATAATGCAGTTAATGCGGTCTTTCCTGAGAGGCCTGTGCCGCAGGAAGCCCCTGGAACCAGAGGGAGAGGTCTCCACCTTTCGTCGCTGTCTTACAAC